TTGGGCCTAACTCCAAGCAACCAACCAAAATCGGAATCAACATAGACAAGTCTAACGAATGATTGGTGGGGTACAAAACTATAACGAAGTTGCTTCATTCAAAAGCCAACCCACAGATGTTTAGTAAAATAGAGCTTAAGATGGTTGATTTATTCCCTGTACATATAGATGTAATCATTTCTCTCACATCAACAAACACATGGAGCATACTATTTGCGGAAATTCAGATTTGGTCGGCAAATGGAAACGGTTTTGATCCACTTCACCACTCACCATAGTTGAAAGCATCCCCACCTACCTATGAACCAAAGCTTTAAAGCAAAGATTACATGATTATATCTACACATATATGGATCAAAGTCATTTAGATTATTATGTTATGTTATACTATACCTTTCTTGTATGCCACTTGTATAAAATGTATTTCAAGTTACATTGTTATTGTTCCAATTATACTACTAATAGTATATGAACAACTTTACAAGTTATTATGCCCCACAAACACTTAATACTATTCATGGTGTATTTTACATGGCCTTTTGTCTAAAATCAATACATATCGTTGCTTGTGTTGTGCCCAAAGATAGACGCCAACCCCTATTCTTTTTATACTTTACGCACGACTTTTGGCTAATTAGAGTAAATTGAACTTGTAAGTAAATAAGGAGTAGTTCAAATGTGTAAACATCATTCTAGATCGAGTTTTCCATCTTTTTGAGTACATAGTACTTATCGCTCTAAAAGAAACTTGATGGTATACGCTTTTCTCCTTCTAATTTGTCTACTGAACAACATGGTGACAAGTTAATCTTTGCTGCCGCTGAATTCCTTGACAGATATTTGCACTCGAAGTTGGAGTAATGCTTAACATTAGTGTATGTTTCTTGGCGCCAGGCGTGAGAGTTGGGTTATAATTGGGACCATTGGCTACGATAAAATCGATTACAACCGTTAAATAAGTTTTGGATCTTAATAAATACTGAAATTTATAGTGAAATTAATGACAGTGATTGATTAAATTTATATTTTAACTATGTTTGAATCTTGACAATCTCTTGAAATTAGGTCATAAATAATTTATTTTTTATAAATATTATAATTCTTACGTGTATGACTTATTTTTATAAAAAAATGTATAAATTAACTCACATATTTCTGACACTTAAACCAAAAATATCATTGCTTCAAAAAGGAGTGCCCACTGCGCACTACTCTCTCTCCCTGTCTCTATCACACGCACATTATTGGAACACCTTAGGAGGTTAGGGAAAAAGACAAATACTAGAAAGCCAGGACAGTTCTTTCGAGAAGGATTACGGACAACAACAGTCAGACCAACCATCCTATGATTCCTATATCTTCTTTCTCTGTAGAACCAAAGGTTAAAAAGACGGGAAGAATCCTTGAAAACGAAAAGCTCCATGAAGCTTCCTCAATTTTTATTCTTTAGTTCACAGTAAATTAATGTGATTCATCTTAGCTTCAATTTACACCCCTAAATCCTGAAAATATTGTGCTACATTATACATGCATGCACTATTACTTCAATATTCCTTTCTTTTTTTTTTTGGTTACTAAACAATAGTGCTAAGGGTACGTTTTTAGAGAGAAAATAATTGATACAATAATCATACTATATCATTATCGACACTATCATATCCCAAACTACTATAAATCAATATTAGGGCATGATAAATACCATTTAAAAAAATTTAAAATGGGATTAAACATTAAATTCTTTCTGGACCCCACCCCCAAATAACTACCCTTAGAGAAAAAAAAAACGAAGATAAAAGTTATTCAAGAAATTATCATAAAAGTCAATAATCTCACTAACCATGGTGCATTGAATTCTTCTGCTAATGGTTGTATGGTGACCTAATCCAAAATTGAGCCGACCTAGTGCCCTTATTATATATAACCTTGAATTATTTTAAAATCAATAAATAAGTGTTCAAGAAAAGAACCTGCTGATGCGTGACGCCCCTTGTCCGAAAATTCTACTTGTCAGTGGGCTCCACTCTCTGTCCCCCAAAAAAAGTAAAAAAAGTGGGCTCCATTCCAAAACGTAATCCAACATTTTTTTATCCTTCACGTATTTGAGCATCTAGATCGTGGGTCAGTATATAAAATAAATAATAATAAGAAATCTAGCCATGTATGACATTTTGAGAAAGAAAAAAGGATCGTCAGCATGAAAAAACACATTTGCACCCATAGTCACATCATTAATGTTACGATGGACAAATTTTAGTATTAAATTTGAAGTTCAAATGATATGACAGCTGATTTAAATTTTTTTATTTATGTCATATCATTTGGGTCTCAATAAAGACTCAAAATAATACGTTGTCATATCATTTAGACTCTAAATTTGGCATTACTCTAGTCACATAGATACAAGTACATTTATATATTTAGGGTAAATTTCACTTATATCCACTAATATTTAAATTTATTACACGAATACTCCCTCTCATTTTAAAAATTATACGAAATTCCTTTAATATTTAAAACTTGTAACAACCACACCCTTTACAACTAATAGGCGTTAGAATAGTTAACAGTCAAAACTGATGTCATAAATAATAATTCTTAGAATACTAAAAATACTCTCCAAAATTAAGTTTAAGAATTTAAATAATCACCACCAACTATTTACTTACCCCGTTATCAATAATAATTTTTAAAATACCAAAAATACTCTCCAAAATTTAGTTTGAGAATTTAAATATATCACCACCAACCATTTACTTACCCCAAAAAATGTACTCCACCAAAACCACCTAGACCATACCCATCATCAACCACTAACAACTACCGCCGTTCATCGCTGCAACAGATCATCGAGAGAGAGAGAGAGAGATAAAAGATCTGAGGTGAAGATCCCTCTTCGTGCGCCAATAAAAGATCAAATCCTATGGGGTGATAAGGGGTAATGTGTTAGTAGTGGGGTTCTGGATGGTTGAAGCAGTAGTGTTAATGAGTCTCTCCATCTCTAGTAGGATGTCAAGGTGATGCAAATGTTGATGGTCGAGTCCATTATTATGATTGGATTTTTCGGCGGAGAGAGAAAAAGAGAGAAAGTTGGTGTTTAGGAAAGGTGTATGGGTCATAGATTTGGGCATGGATGATGGGTTTGGATGTAGACATGAATTTTGCTCATTTTTAAGTCAGTTAAATCGAGGGTAAAATAGTCTTTATGTTAATGCTAGTAACAATGTCCATTTAATGGGCTCTTAGTGCCACTTATAAAATGTGAAGGGTAACCGTATAATAAAATCAAATATTAGAGTATGGGTGAAATTTATCCATGTATTTTTTTTTTCTCAATGTTAATGGAACCAAATTTGAGATGTTTACTTTTAGTTTTTTTGCAATTAATCAAACTCAAGATCAACTTCAATTTTTACTCAATTTCGACTCTACCGCAAGCTCGAACTAAGAGCAAGAAACTTCAATTGCTTAACAAAAAAATTAAAAGTCCAATTTTACACCTTTGTAATCAATTTGAAAAAAAATTATTTCTCAACAATATTTATATAATCAATCATAAAACTAAACCTTAAAAGAGTTTTTTTTTTTAAAAAAAAATCTATAACAAAAAAGAAAAAGAAAAATATAGATAGTATAAAACTATTTAGAGATAAGCTTGAAGTTATTCCTTTTTTCTAATATAAAATGTTGGGTAGGTAAAATTAAATTTATTTATGAGAGAAAATATTTTGAAACCAAGTCGGATCTACTTGAGTCTTGATTGAATTCCATTTATTTGTAAAATAAATAAAGAAATTTTAACAAAATAAATAAATCTGAACAAAACTGAATCAAACTGAACTTGGAAGTTTGATTGTTTGGAAGTCCGCTCCATGTTAGTACCAGGTGATATTTGCTGTAATCAAAGGCTGATGGTATAAAAGCAAGAGTGCGGATAAGATACATGATCCAATACACTGCCAGACCATGACAAGCGGCACGATTCGCGCTCTGCTTTCATACGCGTATTTTAAGCCCTCCCACGTCCCACCATAAATCATTTGTTCATTTTTTTTTGGGTAAATTATATTTTGACCCCTCAATTATGCTTTATTTTTTATAATATCCCTTTAACTATTAAATTATATTATAATCTCATCTATGTAATTATTAAGATGGATGCGTGAAAAAATTTAAAAAAATATATAATAAAAAATGACCATATTAGAGAAATAGTAGAAATAATTTCAATTGAGGATAACATTTAATTAAGTAATAAGAAAATATATCAGAATATTTAACTTAAATGAGTATATAACGCATGACCGAAATGAATGACAAAGACAGACTCATATAGACGATCTCAAGTGATTGAGACATAAAACTTGATTTTGGTTAGTTAATCGGTTTATATAATTATTTTCACATTATCCTAATTATTACCTATTTTAGGGAAAGAGAACTTGAATTATTGACCTCAAAAAGATAACATTTTTACAACATAAGGAGTATTATTAGACCAAAAAAACGTTGATATATCTTGATTATTAACATTCGTTATATATTTATTATTTAACTAAAAGTTATTTTATTTTATCCCTCAAATTACATAATTATTTTTTCTTCACTTTATCTCAAAACATTAGCAATTATCATCCAAAAGGACAGATGATGTATGTGATTAGGGAAACGTAAAATAATTCGAGTAGTTTAAGGAGTAATGTAAAACATTCAATAGTTCAAGGTACAAAATGAAATAGAGTCCATAGTTTAGGTGGGTCAAAGTGTAATTTACCCTTTTTGTTCCTTTGAAATAAAATAATTTGCTAATTCCTGTGTGTATTCATTTCAACAACCCCTTCAAATTCTCTGAAACTCTCTCTCTCTCTCTCTCTCTCTCTCTCTCTCTCTCTCCAAGTAGAATTTTATATGCATATATAGTTCGCAAGTTAATTTTGGTGGCAAATGAAATGTAGAAGACAGAGTACAACTACAAGGGAGTCATTATCTGAGAAAAATTCAGAATGCCGTTGAGTAGGTATCAGATAAGGAATGAGTTCAGCTTGGCTGATCCAGAGCTGTACAGAGAAGCTGAAAAGGATGATCCTGAAGCTCTACTGGAAGGTGTGGCCATGGCAGCTCTCGTTGGCGTTTTGCGCCAGTTGGGCGACCTTGCTGAGTGAGTTGCCTTTCCATACTAACTTCGGTTTGAGTTGCCTTTTGAGTTTCTATTATGGTGTTGTGCGACAAAATGCTGCGGAATTAGACATTGAATTGTGGATTTGGAGATTTTGTGTTTGTAAAATTAGGAATTTGCTATAGGATAGGGTCTGATATCTTTTTTGAATTCAGAATTTATGGCTTTGAGTTTATTTGTCTTTGATTCTTTAGTTTTTAGTTTAACTTGTATAATGAATTCTGTTCTTTCAGTCAGCTTTTTTTTTTTTTTGGGTGCTACTGTTTCTTTTTTTGGCTTGTTTTTGCTTTTATGATATTGATTTGATTGAATCTGTGAATTGTTTGATAAGGCGAGCTACGTGAAAACTAGTAAATTTTGTATGAATCAGAATGTAAATGTGGGACTGGCCATACAGATGGATTGGAATATGGGATATGTGGTAAGTTATGATCCTGCTTTCCTATTCAAGCTATATTGTCAATCTCTTTTCTCTTATAGTTTTTGGAATGATTATTACCACAGTCATGTTCCTTGAAGGTCTCCCTGGGCAGTACTTTGCCATAATGGCTGAAAGTTTAAAGGACTCTCATTTTTGTAAACTATGCCAATACACCAGTGCCATATCCGCTGAATCACTGGCAGATGGCCTTCTCGTTGTAAATTGTTTTTCAGCAATTTGATCTTAATTCCTACTCAGCTAATTTCAATGAGAAATTCACTGGAACTGATATAAAAGGCATCTTTTCCTTCCTGAATCCTTTATTAGACCTGGAATCTTCAGACCAACTGCACAGGCAGCGTATATTGCACATATTCTATATACATGAACTGGAAGTCATTAAGGCTTGCGATATTGAGATACACCACTAGTATTGCATGTGACCTGCAAATATCTGGAACGTCTTATCATTATATCAATTTTATACCCATGTGGCATTGTAAAGTAAGCAAGTATGTGATATATGATTTCTTGACTTTCGGCCTTAGGATTCTCTTTGTCATTATGAAAATTGAAGAACAGGTTGGTCTGTTGTTTTGTTTGTGCTTTTTTTTGGGTCCTGAGGCTTGTCTTTTCTCGGTTATCATCAATTGTGGAACTCTCAGTAGAGCGGTACAGTCACATACCTGACCTAGTAATCTGAATGATCTCATTTTTGTGGTCACCTATGACTTGCATTGGTTCCACTTCCGCCGCCATGCAATTGAGTTTTCATATGTACATTATTATCAAACTTCGATGCAGCAAATTCAACATTGCTCGGCTTTTGTGATTTCTGAAGGTTTGCTGCTGAGATATTCCATAACTTGCATGAGGAGGTGATGGCAACAGCTGCAAGAGGCCATAGTCTAAAGGTTCGTGTACAACAGCTTGAGGCAGAATTTCCCTCTTTCGAGAAGACCTTTCTCTGCCAAACCAATCACTCATCGTTTTTTCACAATGCAGGTTATCCACATCTTCTCTATTTGCTTGTTGATTAATCTTTTGTCCTTGCATCAATCTTATTTATACTAATCTTCTGCAACCAGTGCTTTACGTGGTAATCCTTCCTGCTGCATGTTTTGCAGTTTGACCCTATAGATTGGGATACTGTTTATAGTCTACTGCCTAAATGCCCATTGTAAATTTGTTACATCTAATACATCTACTTTTGATTCACTGTAGGACAATGGAACATCTCTGCTAAATGTTGTGCTACTGTTGTCTCATTATAATGTTCATTATGTAAAAGAATCTATTAGTGTACTCTGGAGCATTATATTGTCCTAGGAGAAAATGGATGATAAGAGGGTAGTGATGTGGAGGTGTTATTATTTCAGGTGTTGATTGGCATCCTAATTTGCACATGGACCAGAATCTAATGACGCAGGAAGATTTACCTCGATTTATAATGGACTCTTATGAAGAGTGCCGGGGTCCACCTCGGTTATTTCTTCTTGACAAGTATGACCTTTGATATCACATGAAGTGAAATAGAAATCTTTCTCAGGGAATGGAAATCTTGTCAAATTTACACAACTCTTAACAGGTTTGACGTTGCGGGTGCTGGGGCATGTTTAAAGCGCTATACTGATCCATCATTCTTTAAAGTACAAGCATCAGCCTTTGAGATGATGAAAGCAGAAGTTCAGAGGGAAAAGAAAACTCGAAAAGCCAAGGTAAATCAGCGAACTGAGTATCATTTATCATAATTTATTCTGCAATTACCCAACGTTAGTGCTTTGTGTCTGGTACATTTCTGTTGCTTCTGGCCACTGTCTGCTTTTGTGAAAAAGCTTGCGCTCAAACATCCCTATTCACATTGACGTAAGATCCACCAAGGCACAAGATGGATCTGTAAAGTTATTCCTGTATCTAAATGCCTGCTATACTAAACAAATTAAACATGTGATTAACTATCTGGTGCATGGATGAGGCAACTTCATGTGCTTGGACGATTAGAAAGGTGTTCTGAAGACTGAATTCATCCTTTTACGCAAAAAATATAAACAATGATTCGCTAAAAAGGTCAACTACAACCTTTTTTCACCACCTTTTAAATGTACATCCATAAAGTTACAGCCTCTTCAGTGTAAGTTTTTGTGGTAAAGATTGAATGAGCTCAATACATAAAAGGTGTTAGATGCTAGGTACTCACACTATGGTTTCGACTTGGAAGCCTTTATTGCAATTTGTAAATCAGTTGTACTTATTTTTTTCGTTGTTTTTGGTTGCTATTTCACTATTTCTGGTTTTGAATTTTTTTTGGTAAATTATGTATTGTGTGTGATATTATTATCTTACCCTTCAAGGTTTATTTCTTAGCTTGTGGAGATTATATATTCAGGGCCTCTACCGCTAAACTTTATGTTGAACTTCAGGGTTTTTTTGGTATTTATGTTTTGCATGAAATCACATTCGTTATACATATATTCTCTTCGGGTAATGAAATGATTGAAATCACTTATTGCAAAAAAAAAAAAAAACCAACTTTTCCAGTGTCTATGGATTAAAAGAAATTTTAACTGCCACTTCTGCATTTTAGTTGAATTCTACATTGCTTCATAGCAGCATAAGGTACTCTTTTTCATTGTTTCTTTCTTTTTATATGCCCTTCTTTGGTTATTCTAAAGTAAAACTCAATGGTTTTTATCAGCAGCATACTATTTTCTCCTTTTGCTGAAAGTAACTGGTTACCAGATAATACGAACTTGTGTCATCTCCATATCTTTGATGAAGTCGAAGATAAGTGCTTAATGTTTATTTATGCTGGTAAAAGGAATGTAAACTTATTCCTTAACTTGTGGCAGAAGAAAGGATCACATCGGAGGAATGGAGCAACCCCAGAGGTTTTACCCACATCACATGCCAAGTGAGATCATTAATTTCATTTTCATGCATGATATTACTCTTTTAGTTGTTCTGACTTTTTTAGGCATGCATTGTCAATTGCTGACGAATTTTTTTTTCGGAATAGTGCAGACTCCGTCAGTTGTTTCTGGAGGAGCGAGTTGAGAATGGTATTGGTGATCCTGCGCGTCATGTGAAATTGAAGAGAAGGCTGAATGGATTTCCATTTGACTCAAAATTTGGAAAAAGTTACATGGAGAAGCTTTTTAAGACTCCTTCGCCAAAACATAAGGAGATTCACGAAATCTCGGCTAATTCCTCAGCCTGGAAATTGCCACCCATTATTACTAGTTCTTCAGGGCTTGAAGTACTTGAAATCAGTACAGTGAGTCCCAAGAGAGAGTCACTGCAGAGAGAGGGAAGTCCATGTTCTTCGTCTAATATAGAAGGGACCGTCCTAAAACCATGGTTGCGTCAGTTGAGTGTGGATGTCACCGATGGAGTGATGTTGACGGTGCCTGAACAAAGCTCTCATCTTGAAGCAGATAACATCTTGCCTACACTTCAAAAGTTTGTGAATGAAAAAGAAATAGTGGTTGATGGGGAAAGCAAAGTGGATGGTAGTGTACATGGTCACCAATCTGATGACACTGGAAGGGAGATAGATAATTACATGGATGCCCTTACTACCATGGAATCAGAAATGGAGATAGACTCCGAATTTAGAGCCAAGAATGGTCTGGGCTTGTTACAAAATGAAAAGCAGGTAACGGATACTGATGCAAATGAAGACCAACTTGAAGTGCATGTTTCAGATTCTCAATCGACAAGAAATTCTACTGCATTGGAGGATTGGAACACTTCATCCAGAAAGGGCATATCTAGTTCTTCCTATTCTGATACTGTAAGCACTTTGGCCGAGAATACTCCTTTAGATAAAGATGTTGCAGCTAAAGTTTTTCCATCTACTGAAAATTTTCAGCATGAGATCATTGGTAAGTCATCTGGCCAGCTCTCAGTTAATGAGCAGGTTCCAGTGCCCCAACCTCCAGAGCTTTTAGTCTCCAATGGGCCATCTGTTGAGGTTGGAGAGGTCCCATGTGATAGGCCAGATTTTGGAGAGATGTCATCTAGTATACATTGCACAGATTTAGGTCCAAAACTTTCACCAGTGGATCCTGGAGAATTATTGATGAAAGGTACTTTGGTGGTATCAGAACTGGATGAAATATTCGCCGAATGTAGCAAACCTGACACTAAATTTAGTGAAGAAACTGGGAATAATCTGAGTGTTAATTTATCCCGTACACCTAGGTCTTCTGATGTTTCTTCCCAGACAAAAGATATCCTCTCACCTATAACATCTGTTGAAAGCGGTCCTGTGGATGAGTTGGATGATGAAGATTCAATTGTGTTTCCTGATGTTTCCATTCATTTTTCAACCATCTTGGAGTTGGAGGCAACTCTTGATAAGAACAGTAATGAAAGTCCATTGGATGATATGCATCAAACTGCACAGGCAGAAAGTAATTATGCTAAAATTTTGGTCGGCGATCAGATTAAATTGCCACATTCAATTATTTCACACCCAGAAGGGAAGCCTTTTGATGTGGCCTCGCCAGAATTTGAAACTTGTAATCCAAATGTGAAGCCCAATGGCACAGCTTCTGAAGTACATACTGTTCCATCGGATGGGGAGGTAGCAGTAGCTTCTGAAGCAGATCCTCTTACATCAGATGAGGAGGTAGCACTTAACTTAAATCCTGTAGTGGAGAGTCCCAATACTCCAAATTTTGCAGAACAGCAGGTCTTGGAAATAACAGGTGATGTTCCACCACTTAATCTAGATTCAAAGGAAGTCGATGTTTCATATTCTGAAGAGAAAACTCATAATGGAGCTCTCAGCACAGCAGATGGTGAAGAAATGAGTGAAATCAGCCCCAAGATGGATTTAATTGGAAGTGATGCTGGCACCTTTGAATTTCCATCTGATATTTCAAACTCTCCAGATCGTGCATCGCTGACAGAGGTTCATAGTCATTCAGAAGAGAAAAAACCTGTCACAGCTGAAGCAGAACTTGTGCTTATGATTCCTGTCATTGCCAGCCCTGGTAATGATGCTAATAACAACGATGCTGATTCTCCGTCCATAAATCTCAAAATGTTGCACGAAGAGCCCCTTTTTAGTCCCGAGGACTTAGATCGGAGTGGATTGGAAATTTTTGAGGAATGTCTTGCAGAAAATTATGAGGAATCAAACAAAGAGAGGGAAAGTGATCAACAGACAATTGCTTCGCCTGATTTGAATAGTATTCTGTGCAGTACAGTCTGTTGTGATCATTTTCAGTCAGAATTGGTTGGTAGTGTTCCTGACTACTCTCTGGCTGCAGAAACTGAAAATAGTTTGCATCTTGATAATGCTCCCTTGATTCCATCATCTTCAGAGCACAGCAGCTCAGATTCAGAATCAAAGTCTCCCCAGCAAAATGAGTTTGTTGAGAACGTCGAAGATGCTTGTTCTTCAATTTTGATCCAACAAGCAGTTGCTTCACCAGTTCCGGACTCTACTTTGTACAATGCGGTCCCATGTGATGATTCTGACACACAATGTCTCAATAGTGTTCCCGACCCATCTCTGGCTGCAGAAGCCAAAAATTGCTTGCATCTTGATAATTCTAACAAAGTCCCATCATCTTCAGAACACAGTGGCCAAGTTTCAGAATCAAAGTCACTCCAGCAGAATAGTCTTGTTGAAATAACAGATGATTTGTCTTTGCCTGTCCGTGACTTTGGAGAGTTCAAAATTCCTTTATATCAACATATTGAGTTGAATGCTGATCAACACGGTGTGGTGTCTGTGACCAAAGGCAGTTTAGCATTGTTCTCTCAGTCAAAACTGATACAACCTCCAAACGACTTGGATCAAGAAAGACACTTTGATGCATATCCCGAATTCGGTCCAGTGGACCTACCAAGCCATCATTCAATGGTGAGAGGTTCACCACAATATGGCAGGCATAAACTTGGTATCCCTCTTCAAGCCATGGATTCATCTATTTCTATCTTTCCTGACTTTGGCCTGCCTGAGGCAACTCAGATCAATTTGGAGGAGATGCCTCCGATGCCACCTCTTCCTCCAGTTCAGTGGAGGATAGGGAAGCTCCAACACATATCCCCAGCTTCCGAGAGAAATGCAGCACAATATAGTGTGGATTACTTACCACCAATATTGTCATCTACAGCTGAAGAGAAAACTCAATTGGGTTTTCTGGCAATGCAGGGGGACATAATCCAACCTTCAAACCCAGTCTTGCCACTCTCAGCTGTAAAGGATGAGACTTCCCAACATGGCCACGGACACTTAGCTGCTAGTTTGGTGCACTCTGGTCAATTCCCATTGCAAATGCCAACAATGGTTAATCATGGGAACAGTCTGGATGATTTTCTTACTTCAGGCGAAACACAGTCTGTGGACCCATTCTTAACACGGCCTGTCACATATGCTGAGACTGCACAACAGTGCTTCCATGCTGAAGAGGGACAAATAATGCAGCCTAGTGTGAATTCAGTCACAACACTAACAAAAACTGGAAATGCAGCCTCTGCATATGTTTCTGGGTCTTTACATGAAAAACCATTCCAACATCTGCGACAAGCACCGGAGACAAATTTAGAGGACGAAAAGCTTAAGCAGAGCTCTGGAATTTCAGAGGGAGAAGTGAGGAATCCTTGCAACATCCTCGAGTCACTGCAATCTGAAGAATATGGTCAACTCCAGCATGTTTTTCTGACTTCAGAGGGAGAAATTGCATGGTCAGCTTTTGAAGATGCGAAGCCAAATGGGAATCGTCCAATGAAGATTCCTCGACCTCGTAGTCCTCTCATCGATGCTGTTGCCGCTCACGACAAAAGCAAGGCAATAATGATTTTTCTGTAACATCTATTCCTGTGCCTTCTTGCACAATGTTTACCACGTCACATTTTACTAAAATTTTGAATTATTTGCAGTTGAGAAAGGCAATAGAGCGTGTTCGGCCCCAGATACAGAAAATAGATGAAAGGGATTCACTACTGGAACAGATCAGGGCAAAGGTAAAAGTGGACATTCTCTCTCTCTCTCTCGCCTGTAAATTTCTGTTACAATTCTATTACATCTGAGCATCATCTTGTTTCCATTAGTCCTTCAACTTGAAACCCGCGGTTGTGACAAGACCAAGCATTGAGGGCCCCAAAACTAATTTAAAAGTTGCTGCCATTTTGGAGAAAGCAAATGCAATCCGCCAGGTCTCTCTCTCTCTCTCTCTCTCTCTCTGTTTCTTTTGAATATGTTCCATTCCATCGAGTGATGAATGTTTAAAATAGGCATTGGCTGGAAGCGACGAGGATGATGATGTGGATAGTTGGAGTGATTCGTGAAGACCTTTGCTATATCACTGCGGCTGCAGTTAGCGTGATCGCCGTGAAGTTTATGGTGATTCGGGGGAAACCTTGCTCTGCACCCTTTTCCTCTTCCGGCGAATAGGAAGTTTCTGTTGTACTTATTCTTTTTTCCTCTACCCTTCATCCTTGTATATTAGTCTCTACGCTTTATCCCCGTATGAGATTCTCCCTCCCTCCCTCCCCAAAATGATGTCGATTATTGTGTCTTACTGCCGATTACTTCATCATTTAGTAGATTTTGGTGGGGTTATATACGCACCGGATTTGCATATAGTTTGATATGTAATGCATGTTGTACATGGGCAGTTGCAAGTTGAATTTTATCACTCATGTTCTTTGGCAAATAATGCCTCTTTTTTGTGGATCCTGTAGCAGGAACAGAGGCTGTCATTAGATGCTATTGGTTTCTTTCTACAGTTGGGACTGCCGGATGCCAGTACTGTTTGCATAATATCTAACAAAATATTTTGGTCAATTCCTTTTTTTTTTTGGGAAAAAATCAATGTTTATTCAGATATAATTTGTGTCATTCTAATCAAATTCCATTACCATAGAATCCTAGTTGCTGAAGAAGAAGTGTTTTGTTCATTAATGCATCTATTTTACCTCTCATTACGATTGTTAATCTATACATATTTGTTTCTTCAAATTATTACTAATGACGACTGCATAATTTTAGGGATGATGTTTAAGTAAAAAGATTTTTAATTCATTTGAATTTTATACCTAAATACAAAAATTTTATAAAAATTGTATTTAATAGAGTAAACAACTTATTCATATATTTTTGTTTAAATAAGTCTAAAAAATTGTACTCACAACCAAAAAATTCAAATTTTTTTTGCTGATATATAAATCATGTCTAACATGTGGGCCTGAAAAAATCTGGAGGCCCCGCACTGTGGGAGCCATAATAGTTTTTGGGCCCAAGGTTAAACAAAATCAATAAACAAGAAAAAAGGTATTCCGCTGCCGGGAGTTGAACCCGGATTCAATATTGTTTTTTGAATTGCCAAGTGCTACAGCAGATTTTGTTGGTGTATGGCTGCGACTTCATTAATTTATTTAGTTTCAAATTACTTTTACAAGTTTACTAACCGGATCCCCAACCCAACCAAATCATTTTAACCCTTACCAAAGAAATCGAATTCAACGGGTTTTTTTAATTGACGGGCCTCAATCCAAATTACTTAATCCAAGTTTTTTTTTTAACTGCATATTTAAAACATGGATTAAATTGAGTTTGGCATAAATGTTTCTTATCTTGGATCAATAATGTTACACCATTTTTGAATACAACCTTAATATGATCTATTATATTAGTGGAACTTATTGAATTCATTGAATATATATATATATATATATATATATATATATATATATATATATATATATATATATATATATATATATATATATATATATATATATATATTTTTTTTTCAATGGTTAAGGGTGTTCGAGTCAGTTTACGCGCATTTGGTTAATCTCATTTTCAGTCTGATCAAAAATAGATCACCCGAATTACAATATGTGTAAGGGATAAATCTCTTATGTCCTTATTCTAAAAAATTACCAAATTTTGAATTTAAGACATATGAGTTTATAACTTGTCATCTGTTATCACTTAATTTACCTTTTAAAGTTAATTCATTGAATGTTTAATGATTGAGATTATTGTCACATCAAGTAGTATTAGTAAACTAGCGTACATATCAGAGCGTTTGGTGGGTTAAAAGTGGTTATCCACTAGTTGACGGGATAAAATAGGGGTGGGACCAAATAATCTTTGTTTGGAAAGCCATTTTTGAGTTGAGATATAAATCCCGGGTCAAAGTTTGACTCGGTTACTACAGTACCATTTAACCCCTGTATACCGGCTCCACTTAACCCACCCTTCACATGGGCTACAAACCCAGGCAAGGGGACCCCGTCATAGACATATTTGCCCCTCCTCTCTTCTCCGCACCAGCGGACCTTTCTCTTATCCTGTCAACCAGAGCGCGAAGGAGCTGAGCTTGTCCAAGGCCTGTTGCACAAAAGCAAGGAAGAAGGCGACAATCTAAGGTCCTCCAACTTTCTGCTTTGTGTGATTAACGACATCGCTGGATTGAGGTAAGTTTCTTTGGTCTCTCTCTCTCTCTCTCGCTTTGTGAAGGTGACGAAGCCCAAGTCCAGCATTTCTGTTGGAGAGTTACGAGCATTTCTGTTGGCGAGGTCAATTTGTAAATCATACCAAGCTTAATCTTCTTTATTCACATACTGTCAAGGTCGAAGGGTTTTCGTAGCCCAATTGTGTGTATCTATAATTTGAATTCATTTTATTAATACTAGGTTGTTAGTTATGATTGATTAACAAGTGTATTTAACTGCTAGCGGAGTATGATTTTTTTACATTTTTTCATTTTTTCATCTTCTCCTCTTTGTTTTTCTGGTATATTGTTCAAGTGCTTGGTCGATTGCTACTCATAGTTTTTTCATTTTGATGATTTGTGTGTTGATTATTTTCTTACAAATATTCAAGCTACTCAGAGCCAACAATACTGTGTTTTGGTTTCATTTTGTTTTTGAGAATTGAAGTATGAATTGTGAATTGAATAATGTATTATGAATTGAATTATGAAATGTGAATTGAATTATGAATGGTGAATTTGGAATTATGAATTATGAATTGTGATTTATGAATTTTGAAGTATGAATTGGTTTTATGCATCTGTGTGTACATCTAGAATGTTGAGCATAATATGTGTGATGAATTGTGTAAATGATCTCTAAGTTATTAACTGGTACCATATGGCAGCTACCATATATATATTTAACTTTCCATATTTTTATATGTTTTTATATATATTTAACTTTTCATAATTTTTATAGGTTTTGATGGGACATTTCCGGAATACTCCAAGATGAAGACACGTGTCCTCAGTGTCACTGATCCTTGTTATCGAGATCACGTACCCATCGGGTCACAAGTCCCCTCTACCCCGAGGTACTTATCATGGGATCGAGTGGCATCCAGTACGTTTTTATGTACCGACACGTACCCTCGGTCTGATATGGTACATCGGTTGCTAGGCCTCCCCCCCTCTCGGATTCAAGATGTACCTATTCCTCGGTTCCGAGATGTACCTCTTCCTCGGTACCGAGATGTACCCCCTCTCATCCATGATGAAGTTCTCTGCTCCAACAGAGGTTATTGATGCACTGGTCACTAGCCTAGGCTAGGCTAGGTTAGCTATCATGACCTCATCTTACACAATTGGTGTCAGAAGGCACAGGAAGACAGGGGCCACAGCCAATGAGGAATGGACGCGTGGCATATTGTGTTACATCAAAGACAGAAAGACCGCATGACCTTGCTGACACGTGACTTGGGAAAACAAGCATTTAATTACACCATTCCCTTGATGAGACTGCATTCAATGCGGTAAGGCTCAGAAGTGAAAGGCAATGAATGTCTCTAAGGCTGGACATTTATTGCATCCTCCCCGAGAGGAGCTCATTGAACCGTCGGCAGGCCGATGACACAAACTTGATCGTTCGGGGTCCCGAGCAGTTAAGAGAGAAGACATTCCTCATAGGAATCAGTGCGCACGTTGCCTGTATCTAATGATCACCTACTGACCACACTGACAGCAATCATGAGTATTTGAGGTATAAATACTCCTCACTAAAGGCAAGGAAAGGAGGTGAAACTTTTGCTACAAATTATACTCAAGTGTTTTCTTCTTCCTCTCTCTCAAAAACTGACTTGATCGTCGGAGGGGATACGCCGAAAAACACTCTGGCGCCCTTCTAACTTGTTCTTCTTTGTTCCAGGAACCTTTCTTCAGCCTTACTGAATCGTTCCTTTGATCCGCGAGGGTCTCCCATTACCATTTCAGGTTACCACCGGATCTCACAGGCTGTTCCAAGTAGCGTGGTTGACCACTCAACTAACTCACTCGAGTTCACCAAGGAAAAGATCTGTTCTCGTTTTTATATTGTGCAAGATCTAGCACGCACAATTTGGCACCGTCTGTGGGAAACGACTAGTTTTCCTAGTTTTTTCTCTATAAAGAACAGTGACAATGGTGAACACTCGACAAAAAGGGAAAAGTCCCCACCAAAGAAGTCTCGAATTACAAGCTCCCTGTCACCACGGAGGAAAGGATCACACTGATGGGAATAAAAATGCCTCTACTCAGTCAAGAGGGGTTACCTCTCAAACCAGTATGGGAATCAGGTCAGGAGGATCAGCCCCCCTGGCTCGTCAGCTGGCGAAGGTGATCGAAGAAAAGTTTGGCGATAGATTACGACAGCTAGAAAAGGACAATGTAAACGTCCTAAGCCGGCTCAATGAATTTATCGCCTCCGACGAAGGGTCGAGGGACTCATTCCTCTCTCGTGGGCTCCCCGTCCAGGAGGCGAAAACGAAGGATCTAAGGAATCATCTAAACAACAAGGCAGAAAGCTCCAGGGCCCCAAAGCGACCGAGAGCCAACGAGCACCCTCCTAATGACCATTCAAGGAAGGCAAGGCCATTAGCCCTGGATGACCTCCGACGAGGATTGTCTAGACGGAGGAAGGGAGATGAGTCCGAGGAGGATTCTACCCTATCCACACGGCGCCCAGGAAATGGGGGGCCTATTGATGAACTCAAAGACTTCAGAAGACATCTCGTCAGGGAGGAAATTGATCTCAGAGCCCGGTTAGAATCTAGGAGAATGAGTAAGGCTGTCCAGGATGAGGTCATACAAACACCCTTTACCAGGGAGATCGGAGAGATGGAGGTTTCAAGAAAGTTTGTCGTACCGAGGTTCAAAACTTATGACGGGCGGTCCGATCCCAAAGCCCATCTCAGGCAATACAAGTAGATGATGTCCCTCTATCATTCGAACCAACGGTTCCTCTGCCGAGTATTTCCTATGAGCTTGGGGGACTCTGCGATGAAGTGGTTCGAGGCGCTCCCCCTCAACAGTATTGGATCGTGGAAGGAATTGACGAGGCAGTTCCTGGCTCGATTCATTACGGGGAGTAAGCGTCCCAAAGACGTTGGATCATTGCTAATGCTCAGACGTAGGGAATCCGAGACCCTTCGCCAGTATGTCATCCGATACTGGAAAGAGGTTAATGAGGTAGAAGGCTGCTCGGAAGTCATGGCAGCGGTGTCTTTTAGGCTCGGTTTGGCGAGGGACACGGACCTGTACCGATCCCTGACTAAGAAGACTCCCTCAGATATGGGCGAGCTAATGACTCAGATAAACAAGTACTCAAGGATCGAGGACGAGATGAGAAGCAGCAAAGGCCGAACCCTCCAATCT